CCTCTTCCAAACAAAGCCTTTAAAATAAAAAAAAAAAAAAAACAGGTTAGCCAATAACATACAGTAAAAAAAAATGTGTCTTCATCTTAAACCCCTTTTTTTTTCTTCTTCCTTTACTCACCTCATAACGCTAATGTTCGGTGATCTAGGCTGCAGCCCAAACTTCAAATTAGTCCGTCTGGAAGGGAAAAAAAAAATCACATTTTTATGAGATATTTTGTGTCACCGTGAATGACTGAACGCTATATTATGAATGAATAAAAAATAAAATATCAACCTGGCTCCCAGAATCTTCTTATTCTCCATGTCGGTCTTGACTTGACTTGGCATGGCCAGAGTGACCCACCACTTGTTTAACTGCCGTGTGTAGTCTCAAGCTGCTGGCTGAATTTTGAGGAACCTGCTTGATGTTATATAAGGGCGGCAGCAGGGCGCGCGTATCGTCAGAACAACGCTTTGAGCTGACCACAGAAAATGAGGAAGCTGGATATGACGCAAAACAGCTAGCGGCTCTCATTCGCCCTCTGTACTCTGTGTGTGTGTGTGTGTTGCATAGAAACTTCATGACAAACAACTGGCAGCGCGTGTTTAGGGATGCAAATGTGACGACAGCGGAAAAAAATCAAATCAGCAGATAAGCAAATGGACGAGACTCACTAGCTCATTGTGAGCGACGCTGTGACATAAAAGTGTTCATCTGCTGCACTACGCAACGCAGCCTCTTCACCCTAACAACAACAACAACGCTCGGGTTCGTTCGTGTTTTCAAACAGTTCTGCAAATACGTTCTTCCTGGTCCCAAATGAACACCTGAGCACAGAGATCATTTGATCACTGTCATTTCAAGGAATTGCAATTTTTGGACCCAATACCAGCCTGAAATGCAATTATGGGAAAACATATTCTTATTTAATATAATTTGACAAATCGTCACCAACATCGATTGTTTGTGCTTTTTTTTTTTTTTTTTTTCAAAAATTCATCAAGCGGCCAGGTTTGAACCCCCCTAGCGCATTGTTACCCAAAGACTGGGCCGCAACCCTGAGGTGGGTCGCAAGAGGTCGTCTCGCATCGTGTTTCCCAGGAGTTTACGAATAATGTCTATTGACTTGGGTTTGTGACTTTTAAAATATGGGTCCCCAGAAACACTGCCCTAGCGGACCGGTTTTGGTCCGCGGGCCGTATGTTTGACACCCCATTTTATAAAATGTATAGGAGTTGTTTTTATACACATCTCCTTCGAGACAATGATGGTAACGTTTTGTTTGACAGGAACAGTTCGCCGGCACACATTATCTGGCACACTTTCGTTTTATCGCTTATAACACCCGTCTGCGAGTTTCCCCCAATAAGCTGCTGTCATCATGACATATCCTCTCACTTTATCATGCACAGCCCAGTCTGGGTTATGTGTTGCTATGCTAGGTTTGCAAAAAAAAAAAAAAATTCTTTCTTTTTTCCCTCCCTTTTTACAGACATTCTAACCGGGTTCTCCACTTAAACAACAAAAAAAAAAATTCTATCTTTCTTTTTTCCCTCCCTTTTTACAGACATTCTAACCCAGTTCTCACTTAAACAAACAAACAAAAAAAATTCCATCTTTCTTTTTTCCCTCCCTTTTTACAAAAATTTTAACCCAGTTCTCACTTAAACAAACAAACAAAAAAAATTCCATCTTTCTTTTTTCCCTCCCTGTTTACAGACATTCTAAAAAAAAAAAAACGAGTGCAACCAGCGCAGTCTGCCAGGGGGGAAGTTGGGGTGGGGGGCCTGCACAAATGCACACAGCAGCAAACAGGCATGTGAAAACGCCTGTTAAAATAAATCCCCTCAACAAGTGCCTTCCTGAGAAAAGAATAAACCCCCACAAACAAGTCACATGAAAAAAAAACACCCAAACAAAAAAAAAAAAAAAAATTCTATCTTTTTTTTTTCCCTCCCTTTTTACAAAAATTTTAACCCAGTTCTCACTTAAACAAACAAACAAAAAAAATTCCATCTTTCTTTTTTCCCTCCCTGTTTACAGACATTCTAAAAAAAAAAAAAAAAAAAAAAAAGTTCTATCTTTCTTTTTTCCCTCCCTTTTTACAGACATTCTAACCCAGTTCTCACTTAAACAAACAAACAAAAAAAATTCCATCTTTCTTTTTTCCCTCCCTGTTTACAGACATTCTAAAAAAAAAAAAAACGAGTGCAACCAGCGCAGTCTGCCAGGGAGGAAGTTGTGGTGAGGTGTCTGCACAAATGCACACAGCAGCAAACAGGCATGTGAAAACGCCTGTTAAAATAAATCCCCTCAACAAGTGCCTTCCTGAGAAAAGAATAAACACTCACAAACAAGTCACATGAAAAAAAAACACACAAACAAAAAAAAAAAAAAAATCCCCAGAGACTGTCACTTCCACTTTTTGGACACATGATCACATCACACATTGTTTTTTTTTTTTTTGTTTTTTTTTAACATGTAAATTAAAACATGAATTGATCATGTTAAATGCTCATAAGAGTTTATATAAAACAATATTTGGTTGTCTTTATTTTTATTTTTTTAAAAATAGAGCACGGTTGTCTTTACCAGTGGTTTTCATTGTATGGACCGCCAGGGGGTGCTAGGGAGGCCTCATAAAATTGGAGGAAAAATTTAAAAAAAAAAATAAATAAAAATAAATAACTAAATAAATAAAATCATTTGTCCCGAACCATAGAACATTGCAATCGTCGGAATTCCGAGTTTCCAATGGTACGTGAATGCATCTCGGATGCAGGCATGAGAGTGTGAGATGTTTGATTTCTTTTGTTTTGTTCCTATTAGAGAACAGTTTATTATTCAGTGGGAGTATACAGTGATAAAAACAAGTTTTAATATTTTTTTTAATTCTAAACATGTAGAAAAAATGTAATAATTATTGAATTTTTTTTTTTGAACGCAAAACAGGAGCGCTAGCTCTTCAGGTCACGACCCCACTGTTCACCTGGATCTCATGAAGTAGCGTTGCACTGTTTTAATAATCAGTATGCCATATTTAAATTGAAGGAAAACTACAATTCTTTTTCGAAACACCGATGCGGCTCTCCATAGGTGGCGCTCTGGTGGACTGGAGAACCGTACGCGTAGTACCCTGCCTTATTTGGAAACTAAGTATGATCCCTGAAAAGAACTTGTGCGTGCACACATTTTGTATTTTATTCATTTTTCTTTCAACAGGTCCTAAATGGAACCGCAAAAAAAAAAAATAATTTTATTCATTTTCTTTCAACAGGTCCTAAATGGAAACGCAAAAAAAAAGTAAAATAAAAATAACAATAAAATAAAAAAGGATCTCTAGCTCTGTCTAATACCGCCTTAAAGTATCCAAAGCACAGCCTCCACTAATCTATCTGGATAGGAGAGCTTTACATAAATCCAAATGAGCTCCTTCGGAGAGGCTGTATCTGTTGCATCAGGTTACGTAAATCCTTGCAAAACCCCAGTTTTTTTTCCCCCGCAGTGAATTTAAAAGCACTTTCTAACAGAATCGCTCCTGTCTTGGCATCAAAAACAAAAGTTCTCCAGTTCTCCCCCTGCATGTGTTGAACGGACGTTGGAGTGATTTATATGAACAAAGGCCAGAGGTAAGTCAGTGACTTTGAGCATGAAACCACCTCCCATTTCTATTCCCTATTTGGAACAGTTGGGTTTTGGTACAGTACAACAGTGAAGGTGGATCGAAGGACTCTGTTGACCTCTAGTGTCCGGTTGACCAATTACCTGTCGCGACACTAACTCACTAACTACCTCAATATTCTTCATTAACCAAATACATATTTTGATGGGCAAAAAAAAAACACATCGGAGGCGGAGCTTCCACGATACGGTCACACCCTTTTATTGAGCTTAATTTCTCAAGGCAAAAACAACTGATTTTTTTTTTTTTTTTTTACAATGTCCGTAATACTTTACAATAATGAAAGGAAGCCTATTCGACCAGAATAAAGAGTATTAAATATATACGGGTCCCCAACTCCAGGCCCGCGGACCAGTACCGGTCCGTAATTCATTTGCAGTGGGACAAAAAAAATGGACTTCATTTTTTAATAATTGACTTCATTCAAAAAGAATCCAGTCATAGATAATCTGGTAATATTTCAAAAAAAAAAAAAAAAAAAAAAATGTGATCCAGACTGAAATACTAACAGAATTATTTTGAAAATTTAACGCTCCTGGAACAATCGGCGCGGTGCTACGGATCCGCGGTCCTCGGTTGGGGACCGCTGTTCTACGCTATGCTGTTTTTCTACGGTGATTTAAAAAAAAAAGAAAAAAAAAAAAGAAGGTGCAGAGAAAAAGATATTTGTGTTCTAAAGGATCTGGACTGCATGATAAATCTGTTATCCACACTGAAATGAGAGAGTGTGAGGGGTTGGGGGGGACAGGATTCCACGGTCAACTTTTTGGAAAAAGAAAGTCACCTTGAATCTGTTCTCCTCAGGAGTCCCTGATAAATGTCTGATTTTAGGAAGCGTGGATAGCAGTCCCGGGCCATCAGACTGTAGACGAGCTTCTGTGCAGACTCGAACATAGTCAGGGTAGGCTTGGAGATATTCTTGGATATGTTTTCCCTGGTATTACAATCTATGTTGATCTGGAAACAGACAATGTCCCCCGTGACTGCGTTACCACTTCTTTACACCACATTTCCGCTAAGATGTACTAGCGTTATATAAAGTCGTTGAATGACAACAAAGTTTCAGCTGGGGTTATGTTTCAGTTATGTTGCGGTTATGTTGCAGTTTGCACTCACTCACTCACTCACTCACCTGTCTGGGAGCTTCTGTTTGGACGAACTCTGAGTAAATCCTGTTGGCGGATGAAATCATCTCCGGGTCCGTCTTGATTTTTTTGTACTCCTCACAGGCCAGCCAAAACAAAATGTTCTCCTCACTGTACTCCGACTTCAGGAACTCCCGAAAAGCTATCTGTCCGGCTGGCGGGAAAAAAAAAAAAAAAATCAACAAAAATGAATTTGTTGTGTGTGGGTGTAAAGTCAAAGACTCTCACCTTTGCAGCTGAGGAGTTTGTCCACAGATTCACTCCAAGTCTCGACATCATCCAGCGGATCCTTGGGAAAGCAACACAATCTACCCTTGAACAGAGGATCACAATCAATCACTGACCAAGTTTCTGCGTGAACTCGGCGGCCACGGATCCCGACCCGAAGACTCATTCGTCGGGTTAAATGTGTGCTTCAGAGAAATACAAACCAAAATCGGGGTACAACTTACAGCGATCGAAAAACTCCTGGATACTTTCCACATGGCTTCGGACTGACAACGGAGTAATCAAATATGCAGTAACTCACTTTATCGCCATCGCCTCGTCTCCTCTGTGAGGGAAGTTCCTGGCCGCCTGAAGATGGGATCGTGATTCTTTGGAAATGAGGGGAGTCAAGTGACCGGACGAATCTAAATGACCTACGTCCCCCGGTCGGACTCCTCCGCCCGTCGAAATGGAATATATGGAAATCTGTATGCAAAGCTCTGTTGTTGTTGGCTAAAATCAGGGCGATCCCTGTCGCGGAAGACCTCGTCGGTGTCGAATGTGGAATGAAATAAATACCAACAAAAATACGTGTAAAACAATATGTTTTATTTCGACGAGAATTTGAGAAATGAAGTACTACGTGTTGCAGTACTGTTGAGTACAGAGGGGGGGCTGCTCGTCACATCGTCTCCTGCCCCCTCTGCTGGTAACAACAACAATCCATGTCCTCCATC